TCAGCAAAAACCATGCCAAGCTGCTGTCCAAATCTGCCCTGCAAAACAGCCCAGAATGCAGCCCATAAGACAAAAATCTGCACATTTTGCTGTTACAAAAACAGTATGCAAAGCTCCAAATGTTGCACTAAAATGGATACCCCAAAAAGCTATCCCATGAAACATTAAAACAGGGCCTGCATTTTTTCAAATTTCTATTGTTTTTCCCCTCTAAAACCCCACACATTTCACTATAAATAGAAGCTTTTGTCAACACAAACGAAGAGGAGAGAAGTCAAAAATTCAGCAGAGAAGAAGATATCCAAAAATTTCAGCAAGAGTAAAAATAGAAAAATAGAATTTTGTTCAACAATCCAACAAGAGTGTGAAAAAACAGAAAAAATAGAGTTTTGTTCTAAAAATTCAGCAAGAAGGAAAACAGGAAAAGAGGAAAAAACTTACGGTTTTAGAAGCCCCATCGGAGAGGCTCCGATAGGTATTATTCTCTTCCTCCTCCATATATACTGCTGTATATATTCATGTTTGAACCATCTATTATGCCATTTTTCTACCATACGATGCTTGTTTCATTATTACTTTCCTTGCTGTATTTTTAGTTGCTGCAATTTGTTAACGTTCAGAAATGTTAGTATTAATAAACACCAAGAAAAACAGTTTTAAAAATATCAGAAATAAAAAATTGTAGAAACTTGCTTTATGTGATTCAACTCGTCCTAACTCACCTCAAGCTGTTAAACCGCTAAAACCTGTTGTTACAAATTTGGAGCTTGCTGCTAACCAACTTATCCATCCAAACCTTAAGCTTCAACCTGTAAAACAGCTTAATCTGTTCCCAAACCATTAACCTGTCAAACCAGTTCAACCTGCAAACTGCATAAATCCGTCTATATCCAAAACCAACATATGAAACTTGTTAACAACTTGTTGAAAGCCTTAACACATGTTTAGAAAAACTTAGAACTTGTTACAAATTTAGAGCCTGCTGCCTAAAACCTAAACCTGCTGTATCAAAAATCTGAACCTGCTATTAACAAAACTTATAACCTGCAAACCAAAATAGTACCAAATACAAAACAATTTAGAACTCAACCTGTTGCAAAACATTTGAGCTTGTTCCAAAATCTTGAAACCTGTTAGAAACCAACAACTTGTTCCAAAACAATTGTTGTCCAAAAATGCTAGAGCCTGTTAGAAACCGAAACTTGTACCATCTTAAAACCTGTACCATCTTAAAACCAGTTAAGCTTAGCACCTGTAAAAAACCATGAAGCCTTAACCTGTTAAAAGTATAACAACCTGTAAACCAGCATATAACCTACAAACACTTCACCTGTACCAAAGCTTAGAATCTGTTAAACCTTGCTAACCAGCTTATCCAGTCAAAAAACATTACCTTGCCATAACCTCAACCTGTCAAAATATAAAACCAACACATTAGAACCTGTAAAAACAGTAAAACCTGATATCTAAAAAACTCAATCTCCCCAAGACACCACACTCGCCTCAATCTCAACTCACCGTTTCGGCTATCATCGCGGCCAAACCTCCATCCTTCCTCCTCTCTGACTTCCTTCACTCGTCGTCTCAACTGCGCTCCGCCTCCATCCGATTTTCCCCCATTCATTCTCATTTCTGTCATCATCAGTGCCTCATTTCCGATCTCACTCTTGTTCGTGAGTCCGTCTTCCTCCCCTTTCTCTAATTCCCTTTGTCGTTCCGCCATAACCACCACAAATGATCTCATTTCAGCTTCTCCTTTTCCCATCCTCCAACTCGTTTTCTTAGATCTATCGCATTCAGAGAAGGAAAACCTAGGACTCTGACGCTGAAAATGCTTAAATATGATGGAAATTTGAGGCTACCGAATTTACAGTTAAAGATCACAAGCACTGAAACAAGTATTCAACAATTAATCATGCAAAATGATGTATGATAGGGAGAAATTAGAAGTCTACCTGCTGAAGTTTTTCCGATGCGATTTGACGGCGGTGAAGAGAAGCGGAAAACCAGAGATTTTCTGGATGATTGTTGCCGTGTTGTTGATGATAGAATGTAGAATAGGAGTAGAAATTGGAGAGACTTGAGGGAGTGTGAGGTTGATGATGGAAATTGCAGAAAGAGGAAGAGGAATTCGTTTAACAGAGAGAGGAAGTTGAATATGTGAATAGAGAGAGAGGAGTGTTTTTTCTTTTAATTGTTTATTAATAATATTAAAATCTATTTTTTTTCTCTTCCCAATAACAGTAATAATGTTAATTAATCCTTTGTCTTCCCAAGATTGTCGCGCCGCGCTCCCACTCATTTTAGGGTTTTCTTTGTTCCCCCTTGTCTTTTTTCAAACCCGGTTGGCCCATTGAGCTTGTTTTTGGTCCAACTTCATTACCAACTTTCCTTTATGTATTATTAGAATCTTGTTAATAAACGAATAACAGCATAGCTCAACTGGAAAGGGCACACTACCCATTACCCTTAAGACCCGAGTTCAACTCTTGCTGGGGCTTTTTTTCAGTTCTTTTAAGCTTTTTCCTCTCAATTTGATTATATTAGTTTACTTTATTGTATTATTATTATTTAACTACAATACATAATCATAAACATGTTATTTTAAGTTCATCTTTTATTTAATTTTGTCAACATGCTATTAATTTTTTATTTTTTGTTGTTGTTTATTTAATTATTCAAAAATACATGTTTCATGATTTAATTTTTGTTATTTGTTTAATTATTAAAAATTCATGATTTTGTAATTTAATTTTTATGTAATTTTGTTTATTTACTTAATCGTTCAAAATGCATGCTAGTATAATTTAATTTACATTAGTTATTTGTTCAATTGTCATCTTAATTAATTTTATTAATCGATCGTTAATCTTTATATCTTTCGTCCGTCTCAAATCCAAGGGAATTGTTTTAACTTTGTCGATTTCATGTCATCAAACATGTCTCATCTAATCGTGCGAATACCCTCATTCATCTTTCGTTTATTATTTTGTTAAAAAAACCTAAGATAATTTTCCCAAATGTTCAAATTTTCAAACTCACACCTTTTAAGTCAAAACTTCGACGTTAGGTCGTCGTATCTTCAAAATCTCGCCCCTACCCATTTTTGGCCAAACAAGCTATTTTTAATCAAGCAAACAATTTTAAACAGATATTTCAAAAGGTTCCTATAGGATACTATAGATGCATTGAGTGCTAATACCTTCCCATTGTATAACCAACCCCGAACTCTAGATCTCTTTTCAAAACGCCTTGTATTTCCATTACTTTTAAGTATTATTTTACATTGCATATTTTAGGGTTTTATTTCGCTCTTTTTCCCTTTTCCCTTGGAAATAATAAAGCACGGTGGCGACTCTTGCTTTTTGTGAGACGAGTTAATTAATAGCTCGATCTCTGATTTATCCCGCTACATTTTTTATCGCTACAGTCTTGATTCAAAGACTATGTATGCTAGGTCCCGCCCTTGAATTCTTGACAAGAAAAACCTGCAACCAGTTGTTCATCAGAAGATAACAGCCTTGTAACTCGATGGAGAAGAAGTCAAAAAATGAGCATGAACCAAAGCCCTAATTCCACAGTCTTGTACGCCAAGAAGAACCAGAATAATTAACATATACCCCTCCAATTAGATGTAAACCTTAACTTCATAACTAGTGATCTTTTGAACCTCAGGTGCTCTATTTTTTGAATGAAAATGCATGCTATGTTAGTAACCTAATGAAAAGATATGAATGCGATGTTAAGCCTAAGCCAAATATAAATGCAATTAGGAGGGCAACTTTTAGGGTGCAATACTAGGCAACAAAGAGGGTGACATTGTAACGCCCATGGTTGATAATGTTTCCACTATGAACCTTGCTAAGAACCTAATTGCACATTTGAGGAGCAAACATATTGAGATGAAGTTCACTAGAGAGCTTCTTAGTGAAAGAAAGTTGAGATTATGATATTGTAGAAGTGAAGACCAAGTGACCGATTTGCTGACCAAAGGAGTCACAATTGAAGTGTTCAAGAGATTAAAGAAGAACATGATCACGAAAGACTTAGAGCATTGGAATTAAGGTGATATGTTATGAAAACATCAATAATTCAAGTGCGATAACCGGTTATTGAGTACTTGTAACCGATTACAAGGTGTAATATATTTGGCTGATGAGACAGGTGTAACCGGTTCATGCGTTTCCATAATCGATTACCACCGAATCAATTTTAATTATAGAAACAATTACAACCAGTTATAAATTTGACATAACTAATTACATGATATTAGTTTCAAATTTTCTATTATTTCAGTTTCATACTTATGTTTTAATCCATTATATATATATATATATATATATATATATATATATATATATATATATATATATATATATATATATATATATATATATATATATATATATATATATATATATATATATTATGAGTATATTTTCTCTTTCAATTTCTTTCTCTCCATATTTTCTCTTTCAATTTCTTTCTCTCCATACTCAATTACTCTATTTTCACCAATTTTATGGTTCTCAGTTCTAACAATGTCTTAGTAAAAATAGAATTAACAGTTTTTAAGATTAGTTAATGGCAATAGTTCAAAATTGATTTATTCAGCATCACTAGTACAATCACGTTATCCGAAAGACAAAAACAGCAAGCTGGATTCAATGTTTCTTATTTCCATTGATTAAAGAATAAAAAGGACTATCACGAGTCGCTTGTAGTTTGGATGTTTTGTTCTTCAATAGATCTAATTGAAGTGCACTATATAACTATAGACTTGCATTCCATCAAAACCAAATTGATATATTAATTAATTCCACGCTAAGCTTTTTAAAATAGAAAATACTAAAGTGTGTAATCAAAATAACTATTCTCCTTTGAGAGTAACAATAATCACACTTACACTAATAAACACACAACATGTGAAACTTATTCATGGTAACCACAACTACAAAAACATCCAAACTAAATTACAAATGATTATCTTAACTAGCTACCTAGTTACAAACCTCACGGGCAATACCAACCTTACTATTCACGGTATCAAACAAAACCCTCAAATTCTGTTGCTGAAAATTAGCAATCACATTCAACACAGAGTTCACATTACTCGGTGCAGCTGCCATTGCAAGACAAGCCAACGAACCAGAACTGCTATGAATCAAACTATTTTCCATTGGCAATTTCAGATCCAAATCCGTGAAATGCAACGTAACAGCTGGTGCTAATGTTTCATAAGTTTTCACGAAACACGTGTCGAATGCTCCTAAGCTTGAAAATGGTCCTGTCACTTGTTTCCTAAACTCGTCTCTAACTGCATTGTAAATTGGTTCGACGAAACGGGTTATGACTGTACCGGAATCAATTATGGTTCCGGAACCAGTGTTTGGGTCAAAGGATAAATGTTCGTTGGGTAAAGGAACATTTACTCGACCCACGCTGATTCCGGTGAAATTGACATAGTAGAGAGATGGACGGTGAGGATTGCGAAGAAGTGGTGTGGTTCGAATGCTTTTGGGTTGGCCCACGGGCCCGAGTTTAAGTGAACCGGAAAAATAGCTAGATTTAAAACTTGGAAGGCAGTAAGAGAAAACACCTGAGTAAATTGATCCGGATTGAGATAATAAAGATAACGGCCCACGGCCCAAGCCCAAAAGCCCTTGGGCCGGAATCGAAGCACCCGAGATAGCATTAATGCTTCCAAAAGAGTAGTTAGCAATAACATCCTTAGCTAATCTAAGTGAATCTTGAACGAGTATGGCAGAGAAAGAAGAACCGGCGTAAGATTGGTTGAATAAACACGCGCCGGAGCTTGTGGCTGGGCATGAAAGCCCACGGACCTGACCACATTGTGGAACGGAACAATCCAACGGGACATAACTAGTGGAGGAGTTCGGGGAGAAAATTGTGGCGGAAGCGGAACAACCGGTGCAGCCGGAGGAAGGGACAAAAGCCTCATCGGTACTTGTGTCAAGAACCATGAACAGAAGTTGACCTGGTGTTCCGATTTTGACACGGACAACGTAGTTGCCGATGTTAAAAGCCTGGCCCGAAGCGATGGGAGATGAAGAGGCGGTTTTCTGGGCTACTAATGTTGATAAGTAGCTCATTCGGGCTGGGTCTTTGGAGGCCATGTTTATGATTCTGTTGTCCCATGAATCTGGTTTTGGTGGGTTGAATGGTGAGCATTTTCCATACATAGGAATCACGTTGAGATCGGAGTTATCTGGTTGAGATGAACATGGATCAATAGCATTGCTCTTGCATATGTAAATTACATAGCAAAGTGTTAAGGTAATTACCAATTTATGGTTCATGGTTGTTGATTTAAGGTAGTTATTAGCTAAACTAGTTTGCATGCATGGAATGGCTTGAGGCTCTTATATATAGTTGAGACGAGAGTGATGATAGAATGTTGTTAAATTACAATAACATCCTTTGAGATGGAATTGTAGTAGTTACATTTAGATATGGAAAAGTTTGCATGCTCGTGATCAATTGTGGATTTGTATGGAGATATTTGCGGTGAATATAAATTGATAGCGCTGGAAAGTTTTGGCAGTATTTGCACGAGATGTCGGTCACGGGCTACATTGTTATGCATGGTCCCTCCCCTCATTTCTAGTTTCTGTTTCTTTCTATTGATCAGCATTCAAGTTATTGAACAATTATATATTATTCTCTAACCCTACTGGTTCTAATAATAATCATTCATATCCAAGTTGCTCGATAATTATTTAGCTCTAATTCGTCTTCTTTCGATGTCTGTGTTCACACTTTGAGTCTGTGATGGAGATGTGTTCCCTTTTCATTGCCATTTTAACTGCGTATTTTCATGAACCCGTGATCAACTAAAAAAAGTACACTCGCAACACGGAGTTATATACTAGTAATACAAATAAAGGTAGGTTTAACGGGAGCTATACAAATTGGGAGTCCAATGGAGAGATTTATATTTTTTTAAAAGAAAAAATAATAGTAATAATAAGGAGGAAGAAATACAACAATTACAAACGAGCAAACGATTGGAACAAAGAGTATTAATTGCTATAATAGAAAACGAGCACTATAATAAAAAGCTGAATTAGTCTAGGATACATGGCTAAGGGTTAAATTTCTAGTTAAATTTATCATTAGCTTGGGATAATCTCCTATCTAAATAACATAAAAAAAGAAGGTTTAAAATTTGATGTGGCTAGGAGCTTCCCGTAGCTAAATTTTAGGAGGAAATTTGAAAATAAATCCATTGGACGCTTGCGAGGGAGTGATACCTGGGAAAAAGGAAAAAACATTTAGCGAGGGGGATCACCTCGCCCTACAAAATAGTCGTTGGCCATTTGCGAGGGGGTGATCACCTCGCCATAGAAATTGTATTTTTGCGAGGGGTTAACCCCAAACCCACTGTCACGCCACATCTTTGCTCTGCCCCATCTCTGAACCGGCTTGCGTGTTGCAGTGGAGCTACAGTTTTTGGCAGCTAGCGAGAAACTAGCCCCAAGCCACGTTTGATACCGTCTATCACTTGCATCTTATAACTTCTTGTTTCTCTTTTGTTCTTTTTACATTTCCTCCTCCCTGCAACTCTCTCAATTGCCTCTTCTCCTTCATTTTTCTCTCCATGAACACTATATTTTACTCTATTTAGAAGCTTTATTTTTTTATTTCAGAGGTAATAAAATTATTTCTATATGTTATTTAAAATATATATTGTTATATTAATTTATAAATTCTAATTTTTGTTGGATTAAATTCGTAGGTATTTATTACATTTTTCTCCATCAACACTAGCTTTGTTTAATAAAGCTTCTTTATAAGGTATGTAATTAATTATTTTTTTCACTAGCTTTGGTATATCAGATTCATGATGAGTTATTTTCACAAGAGTGTTGATATATTTTAGTGAGTGCGTGAAGTCTCTTATTTGTCTTCTGGTGTTCAAGTGTTCATCCTCAACATAAGTCTTGTTTGTCATGATAGGGGGAGCTTAGAACCTATCTATGATTATTGTTGTCGTAGTTATGGAGCTTGTGTGTAATTCAAGCTTGTGAAAATTACAGGAAACATGTTGTGACATGTGGCTACTAGGTGTAGATGTCTATGCCCCTGTTGGGTTTATGTGGTTCTAGTCAGGAGAAGCTAGTATATTATGTGTTCTCCAAGGGTTGAGCTTAAGGTCAAGTCACTAACCTAACCTGGAACATTTTGGCTGCCATGATTGGATGTCTTGTCGAAGATTCAACAAGTATCACAGGTGTGAAGAAGAAAGCTGTCAGTTTTACCTAGTGTGAGAAGCTTACTATAGAATATAGTGAGAGAATATTTCTGTTGTGAGACCTTGTGAGATCCTCTTGTTAGAATGGGGAGTTTGTTAAAGGGCATGGATGGAAATAAGTCCCTTGGATGATGTTTCTAAAACCAAAGCTGATAAGCTCTATGGTAATGTTGATGATGTCTCAAATGATGTTGGAACATCATTTTTGATGATAGTCTATTAAAGATACTTAGAACTATGAATCTCAATATTCGAACTCCACACTCATTAGTGACAGTTCTGTCTATGGTGTTGAATAAGGAGATTCTGATTGAAGGAGAAGTATGCTCAAGTAATGTATAACTACTATCTTGACTTGAAGACTTTACTAGTGTCAGCAAATACTAGTAATATGCAGAAGGAGGATTTAATCAGCACATTGGTTAAGGGGTACTCCTTCTGTTGGAGAGTTTGAATCTTAGTAAAACTTTTAAGCACATTAAGAAATGGTTGGAAGTTGGTTTCAGACTATGGTTGCATGACATCTTAGTCATCCAAAGAGTCATGATAATATGTATGAAGGTGAAAGGGAATGAATCAGAGGTGTGCTGGTTATGTGACTAGTTCAGGGTACTTGGAGTTATTCCCAGTGAACTAATGGGTATTTAGTATTGTGTTTTCTCCATAATGAAGTTTTGATTGTCCATGACAAGAGGAGTCAGTGGACTAATTGGTTTGTTTGGAGCTTGTGATGTTCAAGCATATAGAGTTATTTCCCTACAATGAAGATGATGTTGGATAACATACTAAGATATGTTGCTACAAGATGTAGCTGTTTATGTCCTTATGAGTCTCTGAAGACTCTAGCCAAATGCTGCTAGAGTATACCATCCTTCTCCAAGAGGATGTGCTGGTTCTGCAAAAATTTATTTTTCTCTGCAGTAGTGAAATGGAACAAAGAAGACTATCCTGCTGATTGTTAGGAGATGTCACATCCTCTACCAAGAGTATCAAGAAGAAGACTATGTATAGTCCCCCAAAGCCCTGGAGTAAATCAGTTTCTCCCTCCAACAAAAGAAAAGTTAGACCTGATAGCTCCTCAAATGATGATGAGGATGATGTCCATGACATCTCTCCTTTAAAGAAGTCTGCAAGCAAGAAACTTTCTGTCAGGGTGCCTGATGCTCCTCTTGACAACATTTCCTTCCATTCTATTGGTGATGCTGAAAAGTGGAAATATGTGTCTCAAAGAAGAATTGTCCTTGAAAGAGAATTGGGAGCAGGTGCACTAGAGTGCAAAGAGATTATGGAGCTGATTTATTTTGTTGGCTTGGAATATAGGAAGGTGTTTATGTTGAATATTCCCTTGCTGTCATCAATAGTTATCTGGGCAAGTCTAAAGATGATTACTGTAAGTTGGATGTGACTGATAATCAGGTGTGTAAAGCCATTACTACAAACCAGACTGTAAAATATGCAGGAACCTGTGCACCGGTTGTGTGTTCTAATGGGAGCTTCTTAAAGGATTTCTATGTATAATGAGTCCTTTAAATGATTGAGAACCAGTTTGATTAGGTTATGTATTATGAACTTGATGTACCACATGATGTCTTAACATCATGATTGTTGATGGCTGTTTTGTTTAATGTTTGGGATTGTTCATGTGAAGTTGGATGCTTAAGCATTATTGTAAGAAGTGGCATTTCTGACTATGTGGATTAGAATATGGAGAGTCTAATCATGTCTACAATAGCATGCTTGATTAATGCATGGCTATTTTGTTGAAGACTCCACTAGTATCAGCAACTACTAGTGGATATAAAGGCAGAAGGCTGCTAACAAATACTTAAGGGGTATTTTTTGCTGCAAGTCACTCCAGAAAAGGTTTGGTGATCTGGAGAAACTAAGAGTTTTTGGAGTTTGTGAGTGACTTCACACCTAGTATGCATGACATCTTGCCTATTCAAAAGGTCATGATACAGAGTGTGGTTATGATAAAATAATGATCAAATTTATCCTTGTGTTGTGAAGAAGTTAGAGTTCCTGGAAGTATTCTCAAGGAGTGAGAATATCTGACTCTAGTTTGACTCTACTGAGGGAGTCAAGATTCAGCATATGCAGGAAGTGTTAAAGTTTATCATCTAGTCTTCATATTCAGCTGGAGCATTAGTTACTCATGACAAGGGGAGTCATGTGGATATCTGTAAATTGTTGCTACAATAATACAAGTATTATCAAGCCAAAATACTGTTCACTTTTGTAAAGGTTCTATGAGGAAATGATGTCGAAACAACATGTGACATTGTGAAGTTATGGATAAACTTAACAAGACATGGTGGTTTCTAATTATGAAAAGCCCGATGAAGATCAGAAGATCACATATCTCTTAGAAGTTTATTGGGAAGTCTGGGATAATTTATTTTTCTCTATAGATTTTAAAAAGAATCCTTGAGGGTCTATACTATGAAGAGGTGTCACAAATGTGATATTTTGTTATCTTAATATATGTCACTAAGTCTAAGTGAAATAAGAACACTTAGAATCCAGTATGAACATGTGGATAATCTGGTGAAGCATCCCTAATTGGTGGGAGTAGATGTGTTGATCACTGAAATAAGAAGACAATGTCTGACTAAGTGTCAGGACATTATATAGGACATGTTCCTGCAAGGTCAACATAGGGTGGAGTGGCCTATGTGTTCAAACACGTGGCTGTAAACAGGAGGAGAAAAATTTGTCTGACTATGCATGTGTATGTATAGGAAGTAACTACAACATTCAAAGCCATTATGGACGGTGCACATTGATACTTGAAGTTTTCTCCTCAAATATCGTTTCCTTTTTACCAAGATTGGTGCTACAATCTAGGATCGTTATTTTCCAAGTAAAAATCCCAGTTATTTATAGATAGTTCTCCGTTTCTCTGTAACCCCGTGAGCTCCTTGAGTCCATAATACTTATGGATTTTATTCAGATTTGGGTAAGCTGTGTTTGGGTCTGGTATTGTGAAGGTCTCCTTTGCCAAGTTTTGGCTAAAAAGGGGGAGATGAAAGGTGAATTAGCTCA